AGGCCAAATGCAGATCCCAGGGCAAGAGATTACCATCTGTAAGGATTGTCTCAGATACTCAGAGAAGTTTGGAAGGCCCAATGGGTTGGAGTTGTCCTTTGAAGCACCCACCTCCCCACTCAGAGAAGAATATTATTTACCCTCTAGGTTTGAGATGGAGCAGGCCTGTCCCATTTAGGCAGGCTAGCCAGGGACAAGCCAGGAGGAGGCTAACAGTGTGGCCACTGTGTTTGGGGACAGTTGACAGATCCAGGACGGCAGCCCAGGAAATGGATTTCCTGGCAGTATCCAGGCCTGGCTCTCAAACATCAACAAATGACAGAAACAAATATTTGGAGAGGTGTGGGTGATGTCCTGAAGGACAAATCCAGGTGGCTGCTGGACCTTCAAGGTTCTTAGACGCTTGGTATTTGGGAAGATCCTTGGAAATGATAACATGCCCCATAGATCCATCCCATGGGGTGGCACCTGGTGGCCTCTTGCTTTCTCCTGACACAGCATATCAGTCCAGCCTGTCCAGCTCCAAAGCATATAGAGGCCCCATGCGCCCTGGATCCTCTGATGGCCTGCTCCAGACTGGGCCTTCTTGTTTTTCTGAAGGAAACCTTGAAGTTTTAATATAACTTTTTAGTCAAAGCCATTTTCTTTCTCTCATTCTTCCTTTCTCTCATTGGAGTGGTCAGAGGGGAGACAGAGGAGGCTGGGAGAAGGGGCCAGCACCCCACCAGACTTCTGGATGGCTGCCTTTAGCTGTAACCCTGGGCCTCACTCAGCTGCCTCACGCAGGATGCTCACATTCCACACTGCCTGGCTGGCTTGTTTTCTTAAGAAAGCAGTAACTGCAGTGCATTCACTGTGGTTCTTTATGGCTTTCCATATGTGTAATCGCTCTTTCTCTCCTCAGTTTTTCCAACTTTTTTTTCTTTTAAATAAATGCTCATAAATTTCACTGGTGAAAACGATGAAAAAACATACCTAAAAAGAGCAGTTTGTTGGAAAGAAAGTGAGGGGGAGGGGATATGAAGCAGAATGCCGAAAAAACCCCTCTGCATTATGTACTTAATAGGAAAAAAAACCATTTCAAGTTTTAGGAGAAAGAGAAGATTCCTCTGTCATTTCTCAAACACTTGCCTAAGGCTTGACTGAGCTGGGGTTTGGTGTACTTGAAACCCAGCTATCCTCTCCTGCATCTCGCTGAGGAGACGTAGTAGAGGCCCCTCAGGCTGGGGGGCAGCAGCCAGCTGGCACTAGCTATGACCTCTGGCTTTCTCGATCTCTCAGCTGGTAGGAACATGGGCTTTGTGTAAGTCTCAGGATCCAGAAGCCCCAGGGGATTGGTCTCAAACATCTGGAAAGTTCTATGGCCTATGATTAAAGCAGAAACTGGTTCTGAGGCCCTTTTGGATCATGGTTCCCTGACCTTTAGAGAAGCAGCTGTCGACTCTGTTGGCTGCCTTCCCAATTCCATTCTTCCCTCCCTCCTTATCCACACAAGTCCACTTCTACCTGAGACAGCAATGTGCCCCAGAGTTTCTGTAGAGCAATTCCCCAGCTTCTCTTGCAACTGTGTGTGTGTGCATGACACAGTTCCAACCAATAAAATATAAATTTAAGCTAAACACAGTGGTGCACGCCTGTCATCCCACTATTCTGGGAGGCTGAGGCAGGAGGATCACCAGTTCAAGCCCAATCTGGGCAACTTAATGACTTAGCAAGACCTTGTTTCAAAATTTGAAAATTTAAGGGCTGAAGATGCAGTGAAAAGTCCTGGGTACAATCTACAGTACAGGCAAAAAGATAGATAGATAGATAGATAGATAGATAGATAGATAGATAAAGTCTATAGACTAGGCAACTCAACTGGCTCATGTTTTTGTCTCTTGCTCTTCTTAACTGCCTGGAATTCAATCATAAAATGGAAGAGGAGCAGCTGTTTTGCAACTAGAGGGTCCAAATAATCATGTGTTACATAACAACCACTAACGAAGGTAGTCCCACAAGAAAATAATAGATCTGAAAACTTCCAATCACTTAGTGACCCTGTAGACACCATAAAGTCATTGTAGTACAACACATTATTCACATTTGTGGTGGTGCTAGTGTAAACAAACCTACTGCACTGCTAGTTGTATAAAAGTATAGTACAGGCAATTATGTATGGTGTGTAGTACTTGATAATGATAGTAAATGACTATGTTACTGATTTCTGTGTTTACTACACTATACTTTTCATTGCTGTTTTAGAACGCACTACTTCTACTTATAAAAAAAAGACGTTTACTGTGAACATTGTGCTGTGTTATGTCGGAAGTGGCCTCACACGCCTGTGTTCACAGTCTCTCTGGATTGCATCATTTTCTCTGCTCCATAGCCATGTGCCCTTTGGCTCCCATCCTCGCTCAGCCAGCAGGAGTCCTACCTCACAGACTGAGTGAAGGCAATGTGATGAGCCCCATCGCATACCTGGAGACACCTCAGTCACAGTCAGTGCTAGGGAAGAGCTGTGTTCGCAGACAATAGGGAGCCGTCAGAGCCAAATACCCCTGCCTCGGGCCAGTGATTCTCCAGGCTGGCATGAGAATCAGCTACCCTCAATCCCACCAATGATTCTGGATCCTTGCAGGGATGGAATCCCCAAACCATCCTGTAAACAAGTCTCCATGGATGACCCTGTAAACAAGCCATCCGCTGCTGCAGATGGCTCACGATCCACGCTTAGCCAGGTGGTGACATAGTGGTTTTGGTGTTGAACAAACCCAGTCAAAAATCTCCCTCAATTTCTACCTATGTGGCTTTGTATGGCTCTTGAAATGTCTTAAGATCCTAAATAGGGAAGGGTGGAGGGGGAGAAGGGCGCACAGATAATGGGGAAAAAATAAGAACCAAGATACATCATGTACTGGTACAAGCACCCAATGATAAATGTAAATGTATTGTATACCTAAAATGTACCAAAATAAAAGAACTTAAGCAAAAAAAAAAAAAAGATCCTGCTTTCTTTATCTGAAAAATAATATCAGTAATACCCCGCCATGAGAGTGAATTAAAAATGTTTGTGTAGAGGACATAAAAGTTATAATCAGACTCCAGTGTGCAAAGGTACAGCTCCCTTTATTTATCCATAGCTTATATTAATAGCCCATGACCTTGAATTTCCACTAACAGCAGAAAAAGTTCAGACTGGAAATTCTAGCACAACTCATTCAGAAGATTTCCAGCTTAAAAAAAAAAAAAGAGTCTTTTGTGGGAAATGTTAACCAGAATGGGAATTCTTCTGCAGATGATCCAGGTTCTTCAGGGCTTCCACAAGCGCAGCTGGTCCTAGGCATTCACATGCCCAGAGGATGTCCACAGTGCCACCTCAGTGCTGGCTGCATGGCCCCGGGACTTGGCCTTCTTGCCTCCACTCGAGGCCTCCTCATCTGCCAAGCCCCTTGTATCTTTGCTCAGTGCTCTCCACAGCTGCACCACGTGCTGTGCCCGGCCATATGCCTGCCTCAAACATCTGTTGAGCATCTTTCCTCAGCCATTTAATCCGCTGTGTAGATACCATAGTGGATATACTCCTTCCCTGGGGCTTGATCATCTCAGACCACTTTCTTCCACCAACTGGCCCAATAGCTTCTCTCTTTATAGGCCGAATGGAAAGGGGGCCTCTTCTTGCCTCGTTCTGCTTTCTTCCCTGTCTCTCTGTGTCCTCCTAGCATTTGTAATGGGCATGCACAATCCTTTCACACACTCACACACACACACACACACAGTCTGACTCTTCTAAACCAAAGCCTTTCTCTTGAGACTAGTGTTTATTGTTTCCATCTCAGACTCACATAAACCCACTCAGCTCTTCCATTGATGTCTTGCTTCTAGAAGGTGTCTGGCTCCCCTGAGGACACAGCAGGCAGACCCACCATCCCTGCTCCCCCATGCTGGGGAAAGCTGGGGCAGGGAGAAGGCACCTCATCAGGATCTCAGAATAACACCCCTTTAACTCCTTTTCATTTGTTTGATTAATTTTATTGGTACCCTTTAGATTTGCATAATGATAGTATTCATCATAGGGAATTTGTACCTGTACATGATATATCTTGACTCTTCTTTTTTCCTCAATCCCTTCCCCTCCCTTCAATCCCTCTTCCCCTCCTTATTCACAAAAGCTTTTTTTCCATCCATTCTTTTTCTTCTTTTCCTTCCCTTTTCTTTCTCCCCTCCCTTTTCCCATGTTCCCCTTCCCATATGAACATTTTCTTCCTATTTCCCAATATCTACTATACATTTTAGTCCTCATTTATCCTTTCAGTTTCTCACACCAGAGAAACAATTGATATTTAAACATGAGTGTCTGATTTATTTCACTTAAGAGTAGGGTCTCAAGGTGCATCCATTTAGCTATAAATGTCTCAAACTTCTCCTTCTTTATGGCAGGGTAGTACTCCATTGTATAAAAAAATCACATCTTCTTTATCCATTCATCTATTGATGGGCATTTGGGCTGTTTCCAAGATTTAGCTATTACAAACTGTGCTGCTATAAACACAGATGTGCATGTATCATTCTGATATGATGCTTTTAACTCTTTCAGGAAAATACCAAAAAGGGGCATAGCTGGGTCAAATGGGACCTCTAGTTTTAGTTTCTTGAGGAAGCGCCACACTGAATCCCACAGTGGTTCCACCAGTCTACACTCCCACCAACAGTGGAGGAGGGTTCCTTTTTTCCCACAGCCCTGTCAATATTTCTTATTGGTTGATCTCTTGATGATAGCCATTCTTTCTAGAGTGAGACGGAATCTAAGTATTGTTTTAATTTGCATCTCTCGAATGACCAGTGATGTTGAACATTTTTTTATATATTTATTTCCGGTTTGTACTTCATCTGGGAAGTCTCTATTCATTTTAGATGCCCATCTTTGGATTGGGTCTTTAAATTTGAGGGGTGTGTGTGTGTGTGTGTGTGTGTGTGTGTGTGTGTGTTTATATTCTAGGAACAGCTGGCAAAAATTTTTCCCACTGTGTTTTCTTTTCACTCTGTTGGTGGTTGCTTTTGCTAGCACCCCTTTAACTCTCAAAGAGAGCATGCCTGTTTACCTATGGCCTGGCCTGGAGTGGGTGCTAGGTGGTCACAAACCAGTGACTTGGTCATATTCAGTTCTTGGATTAGTGGGGTCCTCTGAGTGGACACCTCGAAATGTGCCCCTGGCACCTCTCCAGCATGGGAAATGAGGCAAGTGGAGGTAGGGGCTGTTTGGACTCACTCCAGAAATGCCCCTACCAGGGGTCTCCCTCTTTAGATCAAACACTGTCCCCTGCAGGGTCATGTTAAATGTCAGTACTGCTGGGACAGTGTGTGTTTTAGTAGCTCCCCAGGGGTGAGATATCTATTCTGGCCCTAAAGACTCTGAAAATGGCAAGGCCTACAGGCCCCTCATTTTGCTGAAGGTAGATAAAGGGGGAGTGGAGAGGGTCCCCAGCATGTCAAGCTGCCTCTGGGGATGCAGAGAAACCCTCTGTCCTCTCTTCAATGCTGAGCCCACAAGGGTTGCAGCCAACACCAGAGGTAGCGGAGCCTGTTAAAACCTGCATTTATTTCCCCGGGGTCTGGGCAAGGGTGTGGGGAGAGCATGTATAACCTGGGTTTTAGGAGGAGCCCCAGGCCTTGAGAAGGAGGCAGGTTTCACCTGCTCTGCCCTCAGTAGTGTTGCTAGTAGGGGTGATTCAGGGTGTGCTCCATTATGGTCCGCATTGCTACCCACGTCTCCTGGGCCATGGGGATGATCTGTGCAGCTGGCAGCAGGAAGCCATAGCACCCTGTGTCCCGGAGCTCAAAGGTAAAGGCATACTTGATGCCACTGTCATAGGCCCAGTCCACAGTGACTCCGCTGGCCACATCTAGAAACAAAAGAGCCCCCAAAATTCCCCCAAAGGAAGGAAAGGATGGGGTCACATGGGTACAGAGGCATCACATGTGGAAAGTGGGCCTTGGGAGCCAAACCTCCACCCAGCCCAGACCACATCACACTTCTTGGCCCAGGTTTC